TTCTCTTTGCCGTGGTTGTAGAGCAGGGTTTCTCAACCTCGGCACTATTGATTGACTCTTGGAGTTGGATAATTCTCTGTAGTGAGGGGCTGTCCTGTGCAAAGGAGGAGATTTAGCAGGATTCCAGGCCTCTCCCCATGAGGTGCCAGTAGCATCACTCCACCCCAGTTAGCCAAATGTCCCCTGGGGTTCAACATCACCTTCGAGTGAGAAACACAGTTGTGTAGGAGAAACAGCACGAGGTGGGTGAGCAACTTCTGTTCCCTTCTCTCCCTCTTTTGTAGCCTCACCACCAGCTTCCTATGCCCACCCCGGCTCCTGTCTCAGGTTGTCCTAGGAAGTCCCTCCTGCCCCATTCCCAGCATCTCAGCCCCAGCTGCAGGGGCACCAGGAGCGGAGCAGCTGAGCCTTGCGTTTCTGTCCAAGCACAGAGTTGTTGGGGCTGAATTCAAACATTAGAGGTTCCTGTTTGCCAAGGCAGCATATGTAACCCCAGTTTTGTCCTTGGCATTGTTTCTGCTCTGTTTGATTTTGCTGATCCCTTCTAGCTGTATGCACTGTGGTTACATTTTAGAGGCGGCTGTAACAGTGCTATCACTTGCAGGGAGTGGGGGTGGGGGGGCAAAGCGGGGAATGAGTAGAAGCAGGGGTCTGGGACAACACCCCCAGTGTTTCTACCTGCCACCTGCTCCCACCAGGTAAAATTCAGTGTTGAAAGCCACATCAACACTGAATTGGAAAAGAAGTCAGAAAAAGAGCAACAAGATGCCGGGGAAGGAGGTTAAGAGGGGGTCAGGGAGGAGGTCTGTGTGGAGGGTGAGCTGCATGTTGACCATGACAAGGAGGTCATGAGCTGACTGTACGAAGGAATTTCACAGTTGAATTTGGCAGAATAGCCTCCCCTGCATCTCGGCTGCCTCTGATCCCTGCCCATCACCCAGCTGCCAGAACGCAGGAGAGGAAGGCTCACTGGGCTAGCCTCAGCCTGAGCAGTCTGAAGCTGGCCAGCATTGTCCTCGAGCCTGGCTTCACAAGTGTTCTTTGTGGCACTTCCCTCGGGGAAGGTGGTGTTGTTTGCAGGAAGAGAGTCTTCGCTGCAGCTTAGCTAGCCCCTCACCCCCACCCCCCATACCTAGGCGCTTGGATTGGTCATGGGGGACAAGAACTCTACTGTGAGTAGGGGAAAGTCACTGGGATGCAGGATGGGCCACAAATATTCCAGGGGCCCCTGGAATATGGAATATGGGAGACAGATGGGCAGAGCAGGGTGATCATAGGATCAGTGAACATTGGCAAGCTCTCCATGGCCTTTGGGAACTCATACCATCTCCTTAAGCCTCAGTTTCCTCTTCTGTCAAGGTAGGTGATACTGCCTATCTCCCGGGACTATAGCAAAGATGATGTAAGATGCCACATGTGGAAACACTTAGAACACCAGAAATCCCTGCTCATTTACTGGTTCAGTTTTCGATAAGCTGATGTGACCACCCTGCTCATGAGCAAGACCACGGGCATGGGGGCAGCTGCAGCTGCTCTCGCCAGGGCAGCCTTGAGGAGGACATGGCACAAAATTGAGCACAGGCGTTTCTGTCACCTTTCCTCTGCAGGATGACAGGGCGACCCGCTAGGCAGAACCATGCCAACTGGGAGACACTAGATTTCTCCAGCTGCTGAGGAAAAAGGGGAGCTGTCCCCTCACCCCTGAATGCCCACTCTCACCTTCCATCTCAAGGTCTGTTTCTGAGCTCTCCCGGGCTGGTTTCTGTTTCACAACAACTGGCAGGGCTTCAACCTCACAGTAGAGCATTTCATCACTGTTCTGTGGTGCTGGCTGGGTTTCAGTCTCATCTGGAAGAAAAACTCATATTCTTGATTCTGGAAATGAAACCTGCTGGCCTTTCAGGTGGAGCTGCCACTGGCTGTCCTCCACCTCTGCTCCCCTCCTCTGTGTCAGGTCCTGGCTGCAGCCTTTGTCCCTACCACCCCACTTCAAATGGCTCAAAGTGCCAGCGGACTCCATTCTGCAAGCCTTCCCTCCCTAACACTGCTGCCTCCCGGCCAAATCATCTGTGGGGTCTTGTGCTACAAACCCCCCCAATCC